CTTCTTCTACACCATGGATCTGTTTGTTTCTGTAAAGATATCACACTGCTGCTGCTGCTGCTGCCTGTGTGGGCTGCACCAGTGCCAGACACCTCGAGTTTGGTGCCCAGCAGGCTCTGGGCAAAGATTGCCCACTTGGGTGGGCAGCTATAGCCTGTGGCTCAGGGTCAGGTGTGTTTATCCTCACCTGGGGTTTAGCTTGTAGTTGGAGAGCATCACTGGAGCAGGGAGCTTAAACAGAAGTAAATATTGGCACATGAGCACAGGTGCTAACCCTCCCTTTGCACACAAAATAATATTGAAGGGTTGGGAGGGTGTGCTTTTGGTTTGGATAAAATGTTTGAACAGGTAGCAAGCAATGAGTTGTAAGTAAGAGGACATATGTTTTGTATCAAGGCTTAATACCATTTAGTAGTTCTAAGATTTAACTGGCCCCAGGATATGCTGTGATACCTGTCAACTCTGGTCTCGCTAATATTGTGCAGAAAAAACTCCCTGACAGTGCATTTCTTTGTTCTCCACTGTTGTGATAAACTGACCTGTGATGTCAGGGCTTCTCAAAGGTTTTTATTTAAAGATTTGCAAAAAAAAAAAAAATAAATCTTGAGCTGAGTACATTAATAGGGGTGTACCCCAGCATTAATCACATAAAGAGAATCCTGAGACACAGATACTTTGCCATGGGTACAGACACAGCTATAGGTGTAGCTGTGTCTGGCTGTAGGTCTGCACCAGCCTCCCTGCATTTAGTGTGGGAGGGGGGTGTGATACACCCTGAATTTTATACGAGGCTTGTGTGGGAAATAAAATTGCTTCTTTTCCTAACTTATGGTGGTCTGAGCCAAGCTACTGACAGGTGTTTTGTTTATAAATCTTTCCTCTTACCAAGGAACATCTTACCCTGTAGCAGTATGTGTGTGCACAGGATCCTGGTGTGACTGGGGGCAAGTTCTTCTGTGATGAGTGGGGCAGCAGAGCCAGGCCACTGTGGCACTTTCCTTCCCTTCACGTGGATAAACAATTATTTTTATACAATTTTATAGCTTCTCTACTGTAAGAACAGAGTGGGTAAAATTTTAAAAAGGAGAAGCTCTTGAAACTCCCACATCTGAGGAAGAAGAGGGAGGGAAGGCCATCATCACGAGGTGCTGCTGGTCTGCATCTGTGCCCCAAAAGCATTTGCCCATTGCCAGGAGCTGCAAACAGCCATGTCATGCAGGTGAACTTTATTGCAGTACTGAAAGTTCAGGTTTCCAAACCTTTTGCTGATGTAATAAACAGCTGGATCTAATGGAATGTTTCATCTTTTTTTTTTCTCTCTCAAATTAGTGTTTTGATTAGTGTCTATATGAAAACAAGAGAAAGAAAACAACTTGTAAGCTTGTAAGTTGAGAACTAGGGGAAGATTTTTGGGTTCTTATGCAATCTTAGTTCAATTCTGGTGCTAAAGGTATTTTATATCCCAGCCCTTAATTACACAGTTATGTGATATGTTGCCATGGGACCCCAGTCCCCACACATGGGAAGGAAATGCCATTAAAGTCAGATGGGCAGCAGGGAATTCCTACACAACTTGCAAACTGCTGGTCTTTGGAGCCTAAAGAATGTAACTTGTTAGTTGTGGTATTGTCTAGTGACTGACCTGAAACTTTCTTTTCATGCACAGGAAAGCTTAATGGCCCAGGTTTTGACTTCTTAATTTCACTGTTCAGTAGGTCACTGAGTATGGGACTAAGTTACATACCTGAGGATTAGTCTTTCCAATTTTCATACCTGTATTTATTCAGGTGTCTAAGAGATGTTTAATTGAATATTTTGATGGACTTGGCAGTTTTGTTAGTGATAATGATCTTAAGGGTCTTGTCCAACATAAATGATTCTATGATTTTGTTCTCCCCACAACAACAGAATACATATGAGTTGTTGTCCTGTCTGACTGCACTGTGTTTATTCCACTGGCAGCATCCTTTTATTGTGACTCCTTCCCATGAGTAACACAAGAGGGAATGATCATACATAGATATACTTAAAAGAATTAAATCTAATCCTAGAATTAGTAATACATTTCAGCAAACTAAGCTTTGGCTCTTGATGATGATAGATAAGTAAAATCAGGCATGAACATGTTACTACAGCAGAGAACTCAAACTGACCTCATGAGCTGGTGAAGTTCAGGGCAACAGAACCCCTGCTAGTGACACAGCTTGGCTTGCAAGATCACCCTCTGACTGGTGACCTGGAGGCCACTATGCAGTGCCCAGGACAAAGGAAGGAATCAGCTACCTGAGATTTTTCTCTCAATTATTATAATTTTTAGGGTCAAATTACAGGTAACATTTATATTCTGGAGTGTCCTAGAAAAAGCAGGCTTCTAGCAGTGTTGCAGGACAGTAGTTGTGCTTTTGACATGCAGGCAGGGGTGAATTCAGACTGGTCCTGAAGGAATTCCTGCTCTTTCTAGTACCAGTGCTACTCAGAGGAGTCTCTTGCAGAACCCTTCTGAGGCAGAGCTGAGAGGGTGAAAATGCTGAAGGCAATCTCTCTAGCAGCAGGAACAAGGCAGTCTGTGGCCTTTAGATCAGGCAAAATCTCTTACAGATCATAGTCTTTTCTTAGGCAGGATGGATGGGGAGGGTTCTGCATAGTGGGAATGTTCTCTGGGTTGAGAATTTGAGGGGTTTGTCAGGTAGAATAACACTCAGAGGGATTTTATGGCTATGAGTTCTCCACACAGCACTTTAATATATCATTGCCACTGTGTGATGTGCTTTGGGTGGAGGTGTGACCTGCTACAGCCAAGTGCCTGGCCAGACATACCTGTGTGTTCCAGCCCCTCTTCTCCCCTGTGCTCAGAGGGTGCTCAGGGCAGAGGAGGAAGGAAGATGCCCCTGAGCCACTGAAGCAACAAGGGTCAGAGGAATGTTCAAACTCCCCACCTTTTCTAGAGACCAGAGGAAGTGTGAAACACCACCTGTGAGAACACGTGCAGTGTGTGTGTCTGTCTGTCTTAAATCACACAAATACCACTTTCTGTATGGGTAATAGAAAAATCTGATCAAGGAAGGATGTAGTAGCTTTAGCTTCCCTATCCTGCAGGAAAATCCCACCATTTGGTCAGTTATACAGGATCACATGGCATCCAGTTGAACCTTGCAGCTTGCAAGCATGCACATTTATTTGACAGGAGAATGCTGAGAGCAAATTGAATGCACAGCTTACTAAACAGCCAATAAATCTAGGTTAGATCTCCCTTCCCCGGTCAGGAAACAAGGGAGCTATTTTTAAACCTGGCCTTCCTACACACATGGAAATAGAATGATTTTTCTTGTGCTAGACAAGCACAACAATACTTGCACGTTAAATAATGAGCTCTTGCTGTTGCTTTGAATGAAACAGGCAGGCTTGGACAGAAACCATTCTTTCTTTAGACCAGACAGTTTCCAAAGGTTTCTTCAGGCATTGACCTCTACAAAGATTAGCTCATCCAAGGAGGAAGAGGAGCAAAGCAGCCTGAATGGTGGGGAGAGAAGCTTGCCAGTAGCTTTGTGGGAGGTCTTCCCTTGGGAATGGGGAAAACAGTGTGATGATTTGTTTGATGGAGCCTCTTGCAGTCCTGTTAAACAGTATGGATTATCTGGCTGGAGGCTCTTTCTGCCAAAGGCAAGAGGTCTCCATTGCAGTTGTTATGGAGACATAAAGATGTGAACTCATGTCAGCCTTCAGCTCTCCCTGCGGCCCTGGGTTTGTGCAAAGGTACAACCAACACTTACTTAGGCATGGAATGTGGGATATAGCAACTCATCATTTGCCTTGGTGTACTGTAGTGCCTGGTTGCAGCAGTTTTGGCTTCTCAGTCTACCGGGAAGTATTGCTCTGCTCTTTGTTGCTAAAAATAAGCAGGCAAGTTTATATAATCTAATCTTTAAATGACATGTGAGGGAGCTGTAATTTAAATTTGTTGGTCTTAACAGTTGCAGGTGATTCTGTGTCTGTGGACATGCCAGATTCAAGTCTTGGCACACGCTCCTGCTGCAAACATTCCCTTATCTCCATGTGCTGTAGGTGCCTGTTGGCACCTGTGTGGTTACTCGTGTGGATCCCTCCTGTAAAAACAACTGTAGTGCCTGTTTGCCTATATCAATAATTCTGTTGATGTTTTAGAACACAGTTTTCACTTTGTTTTAATGAGGTGTTTTGAAGATGTGGCTTGAAGGAAAATAATATTGGAAAAAATAAAAGCTAAGTACAGTGAGCCATTCCCATAGCTGGATATGTGCCAGCTCAATTTATTCAAGTGTCTGTGTATATTCATGAAAGATCCAAAGATCATACTACACCAACATACTGGTTTTTACTTTTTACCTATTTTGAAACAATGGTGATTTTTTTAAGTCCTTTTTTAAGGTCTTGCATAAGTCTTGGGGCTGAGGGGAGGGAAGATTTTATAAGTCAACCAAAGCTTCTATTTTTTTCTACCTGAGATCTTGGATTTCATTTGAGTTTTAACTCAGTGCCTCTCTCCAAAAGAATTCCTTAGAACTCATTTTCAAATTATTGCTCTGGGCATAAAGAAAATACCTGTTGAAAAGCACCAGCAAATACATGTCCAAATAAGAACATCTAGAGTCATCTGAATCTGTTTTTCTCTCATGAAAAGGCTGTTCTTGTTAAAGAGGGAACAGATTTAGGCACTGACTTCTGGTCTGGAAAGCTTTTGCCTCTCGTTTGCAGCCAGTGGGATGACACAGGTGGGAATGCTGCTTTCCCTGCTTGTTTCTGGACTTTTTTCTGAGCCAGTTGTAAGAGAAGCAAGAAAACAAAAATCTAATTATGTATAAATACACAAATGGCTTCGTTTTCTGTAATTTCAGGGGCGTGGGGAAGAGTTTCTGTTTCAGTAGAATATAATTGATTAGCACACATAAAGAAAGATATAAAATTTTGGAATTCAGTGGAGCTGACCAAACCACTATCATTTGGGGGTTTGTTTGTTCTTCCAGGTCAACCAGAACGTGGAGATCCAAAGGGCCCGTCTGCGAGATGATATTAAGGAGTATAAATTTCGAGAAGCACGCTTGCTGCAAGACTATACTGAGCTGGAAGAGGAAAACATCTGTCTCCAGAAACAAGTGTCTGTCCTGAAGCAAAATCAGGCAAGTTTTTCAACCAATGAGGTTTGCTTTGGTAGCACCAGTTAATTCCTGTGTTACATTATGGTTCTGTCTCGTTTGAACATCCAACCACTTCTTTAGGTTTGTACTACTTTTGAGACTAAATGCTCTATATTTTAGCACCAAGAGTTGTCCCTAAATGTTGAAGTCCTTTCTGACTCTGTTTTATAACAGTCATAATGCTTTACTGCCTCTACTTTGACCTCCAAGTCCTTCCATTGCCTTCTCTGATGAAAGCAAAGTCTCTAGCACTCTGTTTTGTTGCTTGGTTTAGTCCTTTCAGTGTCTCTTTACAATCCTCTTCATCCATCTATCTGTCCATCCATCTATCCTCCCTCCTCTACAGTATCTGAAAATGGGGGTGTTTCTGAACATATGTTTTAATTATTACTTAATCCTTACATTATCTCTCCAGTTCTGTGCTACTTTCACTAAATTTGCACCGCTGTTGTAGTTGCTCTACACTGTCACACCTCTGGGACTGCTTGTCTGGAAAGTCACATTTAATTGCACAGTTCCACCTGTTTTCAGAATTTTAGGAAACTACGTTCTTGGAACTTCTTAAGAATTTCCCTGAGTTATCATTTGTGGAGGTAATTAGATTTTATGTGGTCTTTGGCACAGAACACAAAGGTGCTCCAAGGGCTGGATCCCCTCTGCTCTGGAGACAGGGTGAGAGAGCTGGGCTGATCAGCCTGGAGAAGAGAAGGCTTTGGGGAGACCTGAGAGCCCCTTCCAGGGCCTAAAGGGGCTCCAAGAGAGCTGGAGAGGGACTAGGGACAAGGGATGGAGGGACAGGGCAAGGGGGAATGGCTTCCCTCTGCCAGAGGGCAGGGTGAGATGGGATATTGGGAAGGAATTCTTCCCTGTGAGGGTGGGAGGGCCCTGGCACAGGTTGCCCAGAGAAGCTGTGGCTGCCCCTGGATCCCTGGAAGTGTCCAAGGCCAGGCTGGACTGTGTTTGGAGCAACCTGGGCTGGGGGAAGGTGTCCCTGCTCATGGCAGGAGGGTGGAACAAGATGATCTTTAAGGTCCCTCCCAGCCCCCACCATTCTTTGATTCTGCAATTCCATGATAATACTCGAAAACAGCAGTGTTAATACCATCTGTTATAGTCAGCACGTAGTAAAAGCTCTTTAGGATTTGCTGCAGAAGTCCTTCAGTGTTCTGAATGAAAACTGCCCTGCCCAGCCAGATATTTGGGACATTGAATGCATTTTATTCAACTTCAGGTGTAATTCTGTGTCAGTGTTTATTACTTTGGGCCTCACTGCCCAAAATGGGGTTCCAGGGTGGACCTGTTCTCATCTACATATATTTGGTCTAATTTTGGGTGCCCTGACATCCTGCTATGGGGACAAAAGGGTCTGTCATGCTCTGGATGAAGGCTGGAAGAGAGAGGGAGCTGGTAAAATTGAATCTATGTAGTTCTTTTGGGTTTTACCTTCTTTGTCTCGTTCATCATATTCACAACAGCAAGTGATAGTTCCCAGCTCCATGTCCATGTTCTAAAATAACAATATTCATATTCAGATATGCTGCCATTCTGGGCTGAGCCAAACCTAACCTCAGATGCTATCCTGATAGTTGCTAGTAGTTATTGACTGCTGTGTTTGTATTCTGGAATCTCTGAAAATAGACTGCAGTCTGAAATATTTTATCTTAGTGGCTGTATTCAGAATCCAGAGCTCATGTGTTTCATGACAATGGATTATTTAATTTTCTGTCTCAAAGAACTTTATTTGATGAACTTTTAATTATCCTGCTGACATAACTAGAGGCAGCCATCAAGTTTTCCCAGGCTTAACTTGCATCACTGAATTAACATAACATGCTTGATTCCTGCTTTGTAAGTTGGGTGTGGTACAGCACTCCCAGATTGCTCTATGTTGGCATCTAAAATTCATGTAGCAATTGGCAAAAATAAATAGTGTCATATATCATGTGGTATGATTTCCTTTCTTTCAGGGCAAGGAAAAATATTCTTTAAGCTTTTTTTCCTCCCTACTTCCCCCAAGTGATTCAAAATTTCACATTAATCGTTGATGTTCATAATTTCAGTGCAAGAGAGATTTTTAAAAATGCAGTTTTACAGGTAAAAACATATAGCATGTCATCCAACTCATCAGTGTGAGTCTGAAGCGTAGAGTCTGAGCTGTAGCCCTCTCAAGATGTGCTGAAATGATGATGAGAAAAACGATAAAACATTTTATTTTGAATGTATAAAAGGAGAGCTTGATTGCAGTTTTAACCCAGGGGTGTGTTCTGATGGCAGTGCAGCAGTGTCAGAAGCGTAGCTTTGCCATGCTGGGTTTTGGAAATGTGGAGCTTGACTTTGTGGGAAGGTTGGCCAGGGAATTTGTTAGTTAAACAGAGAAAATGTTTGCATGCTGTGCTAGGAAGGCCTGTTTTGGGATGCCTCTGTATCACACTCTGTATCTCCCACCTGTCCTCATTAAGCTGGAATAGATCAGCTCATTTGACAGTTTGCTTGGTAATTTTAGTCCATGGTCTCTGTGAAGGTAAATTCCATAAGCCATGTTTTTTGGCACAGTCACAGTGCCAAAACTAAACTCCAGAAATTAAAAACAATTTTCTATTTCCACCACATTTAAGTGAAATTCAAAAGCAAAACGCCTTGCAGGCAGGCACATTTCCTTTAAAGGTTTTTTTTTTCCCCCTCCATTTGTGTACCTCCAGGTGGAGTTTGAAGGCCTGAAACATGAAATCAAAAGGCTTGAAGAGGAAACTGAGTTTCTCAACAGCCAGCTGGAAGATGCCATCCGCCTGAAGGAGATCTCCGAGCGCCAGCTGGAGGAGGCCCTGGAGACGCTGAAGACGGAGCGGGAGCAGAAGAACAACCTCCGGAAGGAGCTGTCCCACTACATGAACATCAACGATTCCATGTACAACAGCCACCTGAACATCTCCTTGGACGGGCTGAAGTTCAGCGACGAAGCCACGGAGCCCAACAACGATGAGATCATGAACGGCTTCGAGCAGAACTGCCTCAGCAAACTCAGCAACGGCAAGAACAGCACTTCGACGCCCAAGAAGAACGAAAGCTTCCCTCCCGCCCCGAGTCTGGTTTCAGATCTTCTAAGTGAGTTAAACATCTCGGAAATCCAGAAGCTGAAACAGCAGCTCGTGCAGGTAAATGGGTTTCCTTAAGAATGGCGTGCTCCCAGATAGCTCCTGGAGTTTGTTTGGGGTGTAATTTTGGTCTTTTCAGTATCTCATGTGACCACCGTAGAGTTCATACTGTATTTGTAAAGGCTTTGATTGATCTAGAATTTGAGGATGTTAAATGTTTGTTGTTTTGATATTTCTGAGTCTTTCATGAAGTTCCAAGCTTTCCCCATAGACTAGCTGCACGTTTTGTAATACTTATTTGATAATAATAAACTTTATCTTGTCTTTAGCTGAAACGATGTTTTTACAATGAGACTGTCAGCTAGGGAATAAATGTGTAAAAATGTGCATTTATTTTAAAGAGGGAATGAGAAAGAATTGGCAGTGAACACTGTACTTGAGATAATTTTAGAACACATTATATAGCCTTTTCCATAATGTGCAAGTGATTGGATCACTGTAACCATATGGACCCTTGGCTAAGTTGCTGTCTCTTAGAATAAAACCATTTAAGTGATACGGTTCCCTTCATGTAAATGTCTGTGTTCCCCCATTTCAGATGGAAAGAGAAAAGGTAAACTTGTTAACAACGCTACAGGAATCTCAGAAGCAGCTGGAAAATACACGGGGGGCCCTCTCAGAGCAGCATGAGAAAGTTGGCAGGCTGACTGAAAACCTGAATGCCATGAAGAAGCTCCAGGCCAGCAAGGAGCATCAGTCTGCCCTTGACAACGAGAAGGACCGAGACAGCCACGAAGATGGAGACTATTATGAGGTTGACATCAATGGGCCAGAGATCCTGGAGTGCAAGTACAAGGTGGCCATGGCAGAAACTACTGACCTAAAAGAAGAGCTCAAAAATCTGAAGGCCAAATATAAAGAATGTGAGTCTAAATATGAGGAAGAGAAGAGTAGATATGAGACCGAGAACCAAGCTCTCACTGAGAAGATCACCTCGCTGGAAAAGTCAAGTAGGCATGACAGAGAACAGGTGACCAGGCTGGAGAAGGAGCTGAAGAAAGTCAGTGATGTTGCTGGAGAAACACAGGGCAGCCTCAGCGTGGCCCAAGATGAACTAGTCACCTTCAGTGAAGAGCTGGCCAATTTGTACCACCATGTCTGCATGTGCAACAATGAAACTCCAAACAGAGTAATGCTGGACTACTACAAGGAAGGTAAAGGTGGGCGCAGTAGTCCAGAGGCCAAGGGAAGAAGGTCTCCCATTCTTCTTTCTAAAGGGCTGTTAACTATTGAGCTGGGAAAGGCAGAGAATGGAAGTGGTGACAGCAGCCCATCCCCGGTGTCATCTCTGCCATCGCCTGTGTCCGATCCCCGGAAGGAACCGATGAACATTTACAACCTGATCGCCATAATTCGGGACCAGATCAAACACCTGCAGGCTGCTGTGGACAGGACAACCGAGCTGTCCAGGCAGCGTGTTGCCACTCAAGAACTTGGGCCCGCGGTGGACAAAGACAAGGAAGCCCTCATGGAAGAGATCCTGAAGCTGAAGTCCCTGCTGAGCACCAAGAGGGAACAGATAGCAACTCTGAGAACTGTGCTGAAGGCCAACAAACAGGTAACCAGGTGTTACAGGTGTGAAGGTCACAATGTCAGGGATTGGGTCAGAAACACAAAGGAATTTGTCTTTGAGGTCACACTACCCTTCCCTCAGCTCTGTGGGGCTTTGGGTGCTGATGTTTGTGTAGTCTGAGGCTGAAGGAGGCCGTTCATTAGAGGCACCCAGCTCTGTAAAGCTGAGAGCTGCTGCTGGAACTGACTTCAGTTGTCACATGAGACTTTATTGAGACTTCAATCTATTGTTTGTCTGAATTACATCAGGTTATGTTTAATGTAAGACACCTAAAATGAAGAGGTAAATCTTATTTTTCACTTGAAAGAATTCTGGTAGTTACCCTTAAAGAGTTCTGAAACTTAAGTACTCTTTCCTCTCAAACTGCAAAATAAAAGAGAGCCTTCCAAGATGAGGATGGAATATAAGAACATGGTCAAAATAATGGGTGAAAGATAAAATTAGTCTTTGGGGATTGGTCTGTGACATTCAACACACATTAGCAGTGTAGTAGATTAAAATAACTGCCATTAAAATGCCACATGACATTCCTTGTCATCTCCTCTACAGTTAAAGCAATGGACATTGAAGTTGTCTTTAAAAAAAGAAGGTATACAGTGTTGTTTAAGAATGATACATTGTTTTCTTGTGCACATTTTAATAAAGGTGTCCCAAATGTAAGACAGGCAAAATGCTATAAGGGTTAGAGAACTGCAAATGCATTTAAATATCAAGATACTAAATAGGCTGTTTCATTCCTTTGTGTTGAAGTATATAAACTTTTAATTTATTTTAGTAGCTGGAGGTGTCCCTGCATGTATATTCTGTAACTTCCTTGATGTTGCTGCATGGTTAATGGGAGTAGGAGACTCCTACGTTTGTTCCCAGTGTTCAGAAATGAAGTTTTATTTTATCTGTGTAAGAAAGTTGACCACGAGTTTAACATTGCAGTACAAAGTAAATGTTTCATTATGCGAGTGGTGATTAGAAATCTCTTAGCCAGCCATTTGGTGAAGAGTTTCATTAAATGTTGCATTTCCTTTCTTCCTGGTCACCAACAGACTGCAGAGGTAGCCCTTGCCAACTTAAAAAGCAAGTATGAGAATGAGAAAGCGATGGTTACAGAGACCATGATGAAGCTGCGAAATGAGCTGAAGGCTTTGAAAGAAGACGCCGCCACCTTCTCTTCCCTGAGAGCAATGTTTGCTACAAGGTAAAAAACCATGTGAACTCTGCAAAACCTCATTTTTTGCTGGTGTGGGGAAGAGTTGGACATCCTCCCCACCCACCCCTGCAGAGAGCGGAGGGTTGGGTGCCTTTTCCCGAGATCCTTGCTTACAGTGTGTGTCTGTGACATGCTCCTGTTGATGAGGAACATGCAGGGATGTAATGAGCTGCTACAAAACATCAAGCTGTTGTGGTGATATTCACTGAATTGGAGTGGGAGATTATCACTGGTTCTTGAAACCGTTATCTCTGAGAAAGAGTGACATTTAACAATGCAAAATGAGCATTTATTATGCACTGAAAATGTGACTCTGCTTGACCCTAATGACCTAGAAAAAAGTGAAGATGTTGCAAATGTATTATTATTCTTAGGTTGTCCATCCTGCAGCTGGAATCTATCATTTCATTGACCTGTGTGAGGTGATTTGGTTGCTTATGGCTTTGGAACTTGCTTCTGCTGCTTAGTTAAGCTTCGTGGTGTTAAGAGACATAAACCCCTGCTGACACATAGAATCACAGAATCATCAAGGTGGGAAGAAACCTTGAAGATCATAAAGTCCAACCCTCCACCCAGCACTGCCACTGTAGCTACCAAACCATATCACCAGATCCAGACGTTCTTGAACGTGACTTCACCAGCTCCCTGGGCAACTTATTCCAATGCCTGACCACACTAACAGGGAAATTTTTTTTCTTGTATCTAATGTAAATCTCCCCTGTCTCAGCTTAAGGCCATTTGCTCTTGTCCTATCAGTGCAGGCATGGTAGAAGAGACCAGTCCCACCTCATACAATCTCCTGTCCGAGAGCTGTAGAGAGTGATGAGGTCCCCCCCGAGCCTCCTTGGGTCTAAACAAACCCAGGTCCCTCAGCCATTCCTCATGTTTTCCAGACCCTTTGTAAGCCTTGTTGCCCTACTCCAGACATGCTTCAGCCCCTCAGTGTCCTTTTAAAGTGAGGGGCCCAGAACTGAAAACAGGATTCGAGGTGCAGCCTCAGCAGTGCCGAGTACAGGGGGATGATCACTTCCCTAGTCCTGCTGGCCTATTCTTGATCCAGGCCATGATGCCACTGGCCTTCTTGGGCACCTGGGCACTGCTGGCTCATGTTCAGCCACTGCCAACCAGCCCCCCCAAGTTGCTTTGTGCCAAACAGCTCTTAAGCCTCTCTGCCCCCAGCCTGGAGCTGCAGGGGTTGTTGTGAGCCCAGTGCAGGACCCAGCCCTTGGCCTTGTTGAGCCTCATGCTGTTGTCCTCGGCCCATTGATCGAGTCTGTCCAGGTCCCTCCAGCAGATCAACCTCCCCACACAACTTGGTGTTGTCTGCAGGTTTACTGGGGGTGCACTCAATGCCCACATCCAGATCATCAATAAGGATGTTAAACAGGACCAGCCCCAGAAGTGAGCCCTGGGGAACAGCACTAGTGACACACCTCAACTGGATTTAGCTCCATTCCCCACAGCTGTCTGGCCCAGCCATCAGCCAGATTTTTACCCATCCAAGCCACAAGCAGCTAGTTTTTCTGGGAGGATGCTGTTTTTCTGGGAGGATGGTGCCAAACACTTTACTGAAGTCTAGGAGACACATTCACAGCCTTTCCCTCATCTACTAAGTGGGTCAGTGTGGCACAGAAGGAGATCAGGTTGATCAAGCAGGACCTTCCTTTCGCAAATCCATTCCAGCTGGGCCTGATTCCCTTGTTGTGCTGCACGTGCCATGTGATGGCACATTACACAGCACATAACATGTCCCAGTACATGACATGCCATGTGCTGTAGCAGTGATAAATGCTGGTTTGCTGTGCATGCTGCTGTCATTGATTCCTTCTTCTTGCATACAGAATTCTTTTGGGGAGTGTTGAGGCAGTACCACGTTCCACATTCTGGGTCTGCTTCACAGCTCAGGAGCATTCAGTTTTGCTCCTGTGCAGAGATAGTCCTGGGAAACAGGAAAAGAGAAACCTTTATCTAAAAATGGGCAGTTTCATCTCAGTAGGATTCACAGGCACAGCCCTGGCAGTGTTGATTTGCCATAATCAACACTGCCATAATCAACACAGTGTTGATTTAACATAACCTGGACACCTGGTTTTAAGCTAAGCCACAGGGATGGGGGAGTCTATATGTGCTCTGTGCTGCTTCCTTCTCTGCCCTCTCTGGGCACTTGGAAAAAACTAAACAAAACAAAAAGCCACAAAAGGTTTTTCTCTGTCACCTGCTAAGGAGCACCATGGCAAGGAATCATGAGGCTGCAGATGAGGATTCCTGAGACTTCTCTGTACAGTCATTTTTGGGGGTGCTTCTACAGGAGCTCTCATGTTCCTTGAGTAATCTTCAGCTTCCTTGTGATTCTGCCTTTCTCAGCAGTACCTATGCATGGAGTAATCATGGAAAGTGAAATGGATACCAAGGAATGCTAAAGGTTTAACTGTGGCAGCTCGTTCTGCCAGGGAAAGGAATGGCCTGTGCAGTCTGGATTTGTCCTACTTTCTTTCCTCTCTCTCTCCTTTTCTGGAGTGTAATTAATATGCAGAAATTGCAATCTCTTTGTTAGTTGTAGATCAGCTTGAAGCTGGGAAGAAAAACAAAAAGCATACAGTTAACTTCCAGTTATGTTTCCTAGATCCAGATAGCCAGCTGGCTAACTTCCATCCAACTGCAGTATGTTGATTTTCCTGCCTCAGTATGAGAGGGTGGTCGTGAACTGGTTTGGAGAGGAAGAATTCTCAGGGAAGTGCCAGAGGGGTAATTCTCTCTCTGTCTTTCTCTTGATGTTTTACTCTAGAAGTCAATCTTGCCCTTTTCCTGGGAAGACAGTGACAAAGATTCCTTGGCATGGGGAAATTGGAGGCAGAATAGAAGTTTTCCTGAAAGGAACAGTCTCAGGAATTGTGTCCTGATGTGCTCTCACAGGGAGTTGTGGGTGAACAGAGGAGGAGTGAGCTCAGTTTGGAGATGCACAACAGACTCCCCTGCCTAAATGAACAATTGTAATTTCTGAATTTATGGCCTAGTACTGTAGGGTGTTGTCACCCCTTCCCCTCCTGGTCCCTGGTCAGGGAGCATTAGTAGCTTGGTGGTTGGCCAAGTGCATTCCTCTCAGTGGCTGTTTCATCCAAGTCTCCATCTCAGTGGAGGTGGGTTTGGAAGGGGTGTTCCTAGGTGCTTTAGTGGAGATAAGCTCAAAAACTGTTTTGGAGTGTGATTTTTAGGTGCATTTCAAATATCAGAGGAATGTAACAGGCTAATTTGTCTTCACTGTCACAAGCAGCCTGCAAATGGAGGACCTCTTAACAGCCAAGAGACTGATAAGGAGGGCTGGAGCCTTTACCCCCTCCATGTTTGCTTTGGTGTTGTGTTCAAGTGTGGAACAAAGAAAATATGTATTTTCCACAGGAAAACTCCCATTCTGTAGGATGCAAGAGAGCTGTAACAATACATGAGAGTTGGAGGCTGGGCATGAATATAGTAACTGACCTAATTTCCTTTTTAAAGTAGGTTAATCCCACTAATTTGACAATACTACCAGCTATTTTTAATAAGTAATGGAAATACAATAAGAGCTCTGCTGGAGACAAGGGAAGGCTTGCACAGCACAGATTAACAGCTCCCAGCACTGAGGGACTGCTGCAGCACCCTAGACAGCACTGTGTGCCTAAAATGAAGTTGTCATACAGGGGAATAAATCAAGATATGAGTACTGTACAAAGCACACATATTTGCAGTTAACTCACTTCACTTGGGTCTTTGTTCAAGTATATATGAACCAAGAGGCTCCTTTCAAGGTGTTGAGTGTTGAGTTTACTGTGACCAATGCCCTGCAATGTTTAATGTGACCACCAGCACCAGTTAGGGGTAAAGCAGTGAGTGTGAACAGAGGGTCCCAGAGCAGGGTTTGGGGCTATTCATGTCACTTCAGAGTGAGCAGAGAGCCAGGAGCTGGTGCTTGTTTTTCCTGGCAAAAATATTTGACCTCCAAAATGTATTTGATGGTAGGTTTTGCATTATTATTTTTTTTAAACTGCCATTTAGTAGGCTAAGGAAATGGGAAGATTTTTTTTTTTTAACACAGGAGAATATAAATCCCTACTTAAGTGTGAGCAGGAGGGTTAGTGGCAAATTTGACGTAAATTAATTCATCCTCCTCTAAAATATTGTCAGAAGAAAGACTGATTCCTTTCTTTGCTAGACAAAGAGCTGCTCCCAAGTGCTTTGAGGGAACTTGAAGTGAATATATCCAGTTTCCTAATGATTTAGGGTAGGAGTGAAGCATGATTTCCATGTCTTGTAGGTCAAGATATGTTTCTGGGTTGCCTGTAAGCAATTTATTCTTCAACCTTACAGGCAAATCTGACCTCAGGTTTCTTAAAATTGATTGCAGGGGAAAAAGTACTGAGGCAAAACAGATGAGAAAAAATCTGACTTGAAATTTCAGTTTGTTTGTTTCGTATAAATTTTCAGTGAGGAAGGAGAGAGGAAGAAAAGTGTAGGTTTCTGCTAGTTGTTTGGAGAACACCCCTGAAGCTGCATTTTCCAGAGTGCACTGCCAGTGCTGATGAAGCACAGCTCCACAGATTCATCCACCACCAATTCAGGTTCAAGTCCCTGAAGGATGATTAGATGTAGGGCAGGAGGCCAGCATGGCCATCCCTTCACAGCCAAGGAAAGAATGCACTGGGAAAACTTGTCATGGGTTAAGCAAGGAGACAGTTTGAACACAAATATGCATTTTAAAAAGCAAAGGTTATTTTATTTTGTTATGCTAGTGTTTTCCTTGAGTTTAATTTGCTAGAATTTGAGTAAGCATCCTTCCAAAAATTCTACTAAATATAGAAAATGGCAGAAACCATACACAGTGCAAGTACAACATGGGGTTTGACCTTTCTCTTCCCTGTTGTTTTCTTGCTGGTTTTCTGTCTTTGGATATAGCCTGCAAGTGTCTTGTCTCTTCACCTTGCATGCTCAGTCCTACATGCACTCATGGGGGA